TTTTTAATACTTTATTATTTTGCCCGATCACCGCTAAGGGCACACAAAATGGCATGCAGTTTGAGACGACTGCAGTTGACGGCCAACTCGCTTATTAATAGCCAAGGGGCTCATGTTTTGCGGTTCGCTCACAGTAGGTAAACCCTGAAGATAATTATAAGCATCTATTAGCAGAAAGGCCTTTTAAAGAGAGGAAAATGAACCGACTCAAAAGACAGCTTAACCGACAAAAGTGGTCTTGGCGAGGATGAACTTGTAAAAATCGAGCTTCTTAAGGAGAGAGATGTGTTGCCTGCATTGTATAAAGTTGAGTATTCAAATATGAACTCCAGTCGTAGTTTGCTTGCATGCCTCAAATTTTTACAGTTGTGAGAAAGATTTTATCATTGGCACTGGTTACTAACAGATTTCCTGCCTTTCAACGCCATGTACTAAATCACGCCTCCCTTCGTTCAGCCATAAATGTGTTTTATGGCATTAGAGTGCAATAGTGTTCCGCTCCTTAACAGATCTTTAATAATTCTTTGCGATTCTTAGGTGTATGCATTTTGGCTCCAAGTGTTATTCTGCGCATGGCTGGATTTTTTACTTGCAATAGTGTTTCAGCACAATCATCATGACGCGCTTTAAATTAATGCCATGCTAGCACAAATCCCTGTCAGGTCGGCTGGCTAAATTTTCTCCCTACCACATGGTCGCATTCCTCGCAATACGTTTCGACTGTACTCCTCCGAAGAGTGTAGCTTAATGCAATTCACGGACACTTGCAGGAATTAAAAAGCAGCATTTGCCATTTTGCAAATGAACCTCAAAAATGTATCAATCTGTGCTTAGCTGACTGTACTTCCAGTGCCTTGGCTACAACACTTTTCGAGAGCACCAGTCCTACCCACATTAAAATCAGACACTTTCTAGTCCGATCTGTTGTAGCCGACAAGACCATTTGGCCAAGTTGGACTGTAAAATCCAATTTGCTGTAGGGTAATCAAATTTTCAATCTCATTTGGAGTATTTCTAACCATTGACTAGGTTGCAGATTGCTTTTAAGCCTGCTTCCATGCCAAAGGCCTGCTAACACTTGGTTTATGGTGTCCACTCCGTTCATTTTCTTACTATTCGCGGGTATTCTACTTACTTTCAGGTAAGTGGAATTGCATCACGCTCAAGTGTAGTGAATGAAGACGTGACTTTAAAGGAATTGTTCAGTTGAGTGTTGGTAACAGCACTCATGATTATAATATAAAAAAACGTTAGTAAAAGCATTATATTCTGTTGCCTTCAAAACAGCTCCTCGAAACTGCCCAATGGGTCGAAGAAGCTATGTTGCTCGCCCAAAAAAATGTATTTGGCGTGTAGTGGGGATTTGGGTTGTTGGCATGACCCAGGAATCAGCCTACCAGGCGTGGGTACAATGACCAGCTAAGTTGAAGAAACAACAAACGCAGTACATCAGCCTTGGGATTCGACCTTACCGTGGCATACGAAAGGGCAGACAGAAGTTGTGCTGCATTACTTCAGAAGTGTGTGGATGGACCAGCAGTTGGCATTTAAACGCATTTTTAAATTTCTTAATGAGACATGCTGCATTTTTTGGCTTACTGGATTTTACAGCTAATATATCTTATGTTAAGTTTTCAAAGACTTTTGTAATTTATTTCAAATATCTCGGCTTCTAACTGATTCTTTTGCGCAAATCACGAGGTCCACGAAACGGGTTCCGTTCCTCACCTTTTAGTAAATTTTAAGATGTTTGCCTAAAAAGGGTGGATGACATCAGATGATACTTTGCTGGGCAACCTATCATCCCAAGAGTTGGTCAAAAATGGACCAAATCGTCCAAACCACGGGTACCGAGTCCAACGTTATTGCTGACGCTTTCAGTGCTAATGATAGCACAAGCAACTGCAGCTTGCTTTCACCAAGGCCAGCATCCACCTTTCATAACTATTGTAGCGGCCAAATCGAGTTTCTGATCTTAGGGCAGGGCAAGTCACTAGGCAGAACTCAATGCCATTGTAATTTTGCGTTCGTGATTTTAAAAGTTGCGAAATTATTCACACAAAAAGTAGGGCAAAATTTTCGCTTCTACTACAACTATGCGCCACCTTCTTGGAGGTGGTGAAGGGGATGATACCCGCTAAATTAGGCATTTTACATTTCATTCACTTGAAGGGACGAACACGGGCGATTTGGATTCTGTGTCCAATGGTTCGAAAAAGATGAAAGGAATGTCGGCAACGCCGATTTTTAGGACGATTTTGCCCACCCAGGCACATAAAACTAATTCGTGTGAATAGAATTTCGTATCTAATTCGACGATTATTTGGTCTCAAAATTTGCGTGGAGTGATATTTACCTCTAATTTATGTCCCTAAGTTATGCATCACTCTAATTTGCCCCAATCGTGCGATGAACATTGTTTTGCGCGTTGATTAGCTATAGTGGTTTTAACATCAGCCTTCCCATAAAATGCAAACAGTCTTTGGCATTTTATCGTTTTGGACTGCTAGTGACTTCTTTTTACAGTCAATGTTCAGATTTTGAGATGTCTGCCCAATTTGAAAGTTCGCCAAGTAGACACAGCAGCCGTGCTTTTGCCTCGCTGTACTGCAGCAGATGCGCTTGTTCCTGCACCCGTCAGTCGCAAACAAGGTTATGCAACTTTAGGAGCGTGAACTTATTCCACTTTAAATAAACCAAACTAATAAACAAGAAAAAACTTTGAAAAGAATTTTCCAACTGCCTGTTGTGAAGGTTGTTGGCGGTTGGAATATGCAATAAATTTTAGGTTGGCTAATGTGTAAATTCCCCTATTTTGTTTCTGCTGATTGAGATTTGCGCTCAACGCTTGCACGTTTGTGCTCCCTTATGCCTCAAGTAACTGATTTTAAGTTTGACCGATGCGTTAGTCACCGCCGAAAATGCGTAGATCAACTCGAACCGATAAAATAGCCATAAAGCATCAGTGATAGAATCTTCAGGTTGGTGAATAAATTTTCAACGAAGGTAATGAACGATTTGCTTAACACTAATACCAAAACTGTTCCCCCTTATCCACACCGGCTTTTTGATATGCTAACTTCTGCCCAAATACTTTTCAAAAATATAGGTGTGTAATATGCTGCAAAACATTGTAACATGAGTCACGAGCCACGTTTAACGCTGAATTTTTGGGTGAGTAAAGCCTCATGAAGTTAGCTGCGACTAGCTTTTCCATTCATACCCATCGAGTCAATCCGATCTCTTTTAACCCTTCCAATCCCCTTTCTTTTCTAAGTCCCCAGTTGTTTAAAACATGTTTACTTATAACTTGTAAGTAGAGTTTGCATTTCATTACGTTATTTGCATCTTGGTTGGAGTAACTCATTTCTAACGGTGATTGAACAGTTTTGAAATGCATAAAAAAGCTAATGAAATCTTCTAATCATAGTCCCTCATCAAAGCGAGAGTGCTTGCTTTTTCTTGCTAGTTAATGTCACCTTAAGTGGTGGTGTTAACTAAAGCAGTTATTGACATTGAGTAATAGTGAGGTAGGTTCTGAAGACTGCAGAAATTTGACCATACTTCAAAACTCGAATCCTTTTAAATTATTCTTTTTTATGTCTCTAACGTACATCTATAAACGGTTCGAATAGTTCACCAATGTGCATGTTCGGTGATTGCTATTTCAACTTTAGGTTAACAGGCAATATTCCTCCTCCATGCATCTCTAAGCAATACTCCATAAGGCACACAAACATTCGCCCAAAATCCTCTCTGGTCGTCTGTACCTCTAACTATTCTTTAGCGATTGCCCATCAGCAGCCACATTCAATGCTTATCCAACCCATGTATGCAGTGTATGAAGTCAAGCATTTGTTTCCAAATTTTTGAAATCCTTAAAGTGTAAAATGGTCTGGGATTCGCAGTCCCAGGGGTTTGGAATCTATAAAACTAGAATTCTGAGACAAAAGGAACTCAATACGTGCTTGGTTCTTTCGTACTTCGACTTTGGCTTGATCATTTATTAAATATACGCTACGCTAAAACGCTTCCTACCATTCTAAGAATCAACTTCCTACCTGATTTTATAACGCTTATATTCAATCATCAAAACATGTAATTTTAAAATCACAGTGTCTAATTTTGGCATTCAATCAACTTTCCGAAATTAAGTTGTACAATCGCCTTTCCTCAATGGGCGCTCCAGTAATCCTCCATTGTTATTAATGTTATGACGGTTGGAATGTGATAATAGAGAAAAATTGGTAATGAGCTAGAATGAGACTGCAGTAGGTTTCTTAATCTTCAAAATGTTCTTCGATAATTTGATAAGCCCTACAGTTTATGAAAAATTGACCTTTAATGGAAACTCATAACCTTAATAGGACTTAACCAGCTTAATGTTGTGAGACATATTATGAGTTAAGTCATTTATTTGGGCTTTCGACACAATACTAGAAAAGAGCCTTTTATACCTGCGCATGTTCAGTAGAATGCCGGGTGGAAATAATTTCCCTTGAAATGTTTCGGTCCCCCTAACTATTGGCACTGGAGGTGGGATGAAGTGGAGCACCAAACGTAGGACACCAATAATTCATTAATCATTAAAATCCTGACTGCAAAACTAAAAAATAGTTCACGAAATCAGTGAATTTTGAGAGGATCTATTAAATTTCCTTATTCTTTGGCAGCCTTGATTTATACATACTGTGATGCTGGTTAGTCTGCACAGTTTTTTAAAGTGCTCTGATCCTCATTTCTAGGCACAAAATTCAATTTTAATGACAGTCTTCAAATGGGTGGATTCCTTCTACCTTACGTTTGTCAGTGTTGTAACGGAAGCCAAATTGCTCCTTAAGTGCGCACCACATCAGGAAACCATATCTGGGTTGAAGAAAACAAATATCTCGTGACGTAATTTGTGCTTCAATAAATCAGTCAAAAAATTTACTAATGGAAGGAGTTAATAAAGAAGCATGCATGAAGAACCCGAAATTGTTAATGTTTGCTTAGACATCCTAGAGATCCCGAGGTCGAGCCTCCGGTGGAGCGTAGATTGCAGTAATGTTGTGACGGTCACTTCCAAGATCGTTCTCTACGTAACACTGATAGATACCCTCGTATTTGATGTCGAATCTGCGGATCTGCAGGTGAGAGATTATGCGACGACCCGGTGGTGCGCCACGAAGGCTCACACTCATCTCATCGGAATCCCCTGGCAGAAGAAAAGGGTTGCTTATTTGTGCTACTTGTTGCAAGTAATTTAAGCAGAAAATAATTAATGTCACGGAACATGTACCAACGTTGATGGTACTAGTGAACGTTGGGAAAAGTGACTTTTTAAGCAATACCTATTTAATTTGCTCTTTCCATGTAAGAGGCGTGAACCCCCTTTGTGATGCAGGATATTTGAATCGCTCTTTCTCATTTACGTTGGAAATGTGACTGTTAGGACATGACTGTTCCCCTATTTTTGTGAATTTTATTAGGCCTCTCATTCCTCCCCCACCTCTTCTGTGTCATGATTAAGCGATTTCACCACCTTTGTCGCTACGGCCAATGCTTAAAAGGGCTAGTAATGGTGCTTATAGTCATGCCAACAGGCTTATTGACCTTTGCTGTTGATCACCTCTAAGGGCACCATTGGGAGGTTCCTCATTGGATGTGCAAAACTGGTGATTCACCAGAAACCGTTTGCAAGGCCGCTTTCTGCCTTGGCCGCCTGGCCATCCAACCTTCCACCCACGCACGCACGAACTATTCGCGTTTCTCCCAATGGCACGACTTGTCGACCTGCGGTTTCCCATGGCTGCGCCTGTTCCTCTGACAGTGCGATTAATTCCACAATCTATCACATCCTACCAATCAACTTCTTAATTTAAACAAGAAAATCCAATTCGACTGTTCTCATCCTTCTTCTTAATTAGGCGAAATGGATAGTTTAGCAATTAACAGCATAAGGAGACTTTCAACTAATCACCAACTACTGATTTTGTGAGTGAAGTGCTAGCCGCATTGCTGTCATAGTATTTCCGTATGCAGGCTTTGCACTCAGCTGGGTTATAAGTTAACAAGTGGTGTATCCCAGTGACAATTCATTTGCTTTTGATGTATCTAAAAAATATCCTTTCTTGATATAAAGTCCCAGATTGCCAAAAATATGCATTAGTACCTTTTAGTCTCAATTATTCATGAAGTACATGCAACAGCAGCAGCGCCGTTGGCACCACAAGCCGAAGCCAACACGCACGAAACCGGTCATGGGCGGTCAAGTATGCGACCGTAAAAATTTCTGGATAATTCAACCGCCGAACCCGCAAGTGTAATTTATGCAAACTAATGTAACAGTCCTACCCGCTTCGTGAACCATTTGACAGGAACGCGAAATTCCACTTTCCTAAACACGTTGTTGTAATTAATCAAAGACTCAATTGCCTAGCTCTACCATTTGGATACCATTTTCAATAGCTTCCAATTATTGAACTCCAAATAAACCTTCCAATCACACTCGAACCAAATAGTCGCTTTTGTTCACTTCTTCCATCTCCGTTGCCCCACTATCACGCCTTTCCGCCAGCTTTGCCAACGTGTTCCGCGATATGACAAACACAAAATGCTCCAACTACTAAATGTGATTGGGTGAAACAACAACTTTTCAGACTGGTTACGCGAAATCAATCCTGTTCAAAAAGTATATTTTCTACATTGTTCCAAGTCTTTCTTGTTTAATTCATTGTCATAACCCTTAATGCAAATCTAATTTCCTCACAGTTAATTCATTTAAGGGATTCTTTTTTCTCATCAAATGAATAGCCTTTCTGCAAAAAAAATGTTTGCCAAAAACTTGCCCCGTAGAGGCAAATCCACTTCAGCCGCAGTTGTCACTGAAACTTTGGATCACAACTCTTCTGTCTCTCATCTGGATGGGAACAAAAGTTTCACTATTTTGGGGTTTCTGAAAAGTTTGATGCAACCACTTTTAACAGTTTGGCAGCAGTTCCCTTTAAAACGAGAATTCGTGCAGTTTGAATTAAAGGTGGAACATCTTTAGACCTTAAACCACACAAATTCGATCAATTATGACTCAATTAAAACAACGATTTCATCTTCACAAACAATGTGCGGCTCTTCTAACTATTAGATAATATGGATAAATGGTCAATCAATGTTAAAGAATGTAAAAACAGACCCACCTGGGAGAAGAATGGCCTCGTAAGAGCCGCCAGGCGCGAAGTAATACCACGTAACCGTTGGGAGGGGATAGCCCTTGATTTCACACCAAAAAGTTGTCTTGTTTCCTCCGGGAACTCGCTGTGACTCAGATGCAGCTACAATCCTCGGTTCTACAATGAATATTCCTCATTATTTAGTCACAAACGTTTCCGATTTTCCCCAATTTAACTTGCTTCGGATTACATGATTGTATGCACATTTGTTAAATTCTCGGAAGCAACTGCCAGCATATTATTAACATGGGAGTTAACCGGCAAAGTCTCTAGGCAATCATCGAGTAGGAAACCACCAGCTCTTCAGGATTACTCCCATCGCCTTTTGGTCACTTACTCACATCTAACAAATGCAGCCTTTTCTACTAGCACATGTCACGTCTTGCCAGCAGGTTACTCCAGTTTTATGCTTGAGTACGGGGCTTGCTTGCCAAAAGTGTCAGTATTAAAACAATTGCTTTTTGTCACTTAAAGATTGCCCTTCCAAGTTAGTGCTTCATTTGAACCAACATGACCAAGGCTTATTACGAACTTGTAGATTGCGCTTTCTTACTACTGCCGTGGGATGGGATCACCGGCAGCCAAATGTGAGCTTGTAAAATTATAGTTGATTAAGATGTAACTTGTGAAAATCTCCCGATCACGCGCCATGCATTAAATAATACCATCACAACAGCACAGCTTAGACATCGAAGTTTAAATGATCGAAATATTGTGAATGGCAAATTTTTCAGAGAAAGTACCACGTAAGTGAAGTTTCATAGACAAAGTAAATGGCTTTAATGAACCACCATAAAAAGACGCCATTGGTAAGTTGATTTATAATAAAGCTCACCTGTAAAATGCTAATGCATATAATTTTTAACTTAAAAAATACTGTCAGTCCTCTCATTTCTAATTTTACTGAACGTCCTATTTTAGCACTTCGATAAGTAACTGCAGAAGTTCTACATCTATCTGCTCCTTTATTATATTTATCACATTGCCTTTTTTACCTGATTTGCAATCGTCGTAGGAGATGAGGAACACTTCACCAAACGACTTTGCTTGTACGGCCTCCAACTCGCAAGCCGAGTAGGTTTCCCCGTTGCTAGCACAAAACCGACCAGGTTTGGTACATACGCAAATGTTCTCCTCACCCAACGAGTCCTCATCAACATCAGTTCGAGGCTGGCACTCAAGGTTTTTGCCGCAGGCGCCGTAGTAGCCGTGACGTCTTCTGCCAACGAACATGTCATGCAACTCCTGTCTTGTGTTGCATCGATGGCCTTGCTCCAGACCACAGACCAAGCAACAGCCACAATAGTCCTTTACCTCTCCAACGGGGCACATTGTAATAGGTGGACACTTTGATTCATCGCATGATCCACAGGTGTCTAGTAGCGTTTCACCAGTGTTTTCAATATTAGCCGCACAACTACTCAGCCTGAGGAAAATGACGAACAATAGACCAACCATAGACTTAGCGAACAGCATTGCCAAGATTGCAAGTAGGTGCCAATGCTTCTGCTATTGCCACCAGGTTCCTGTGCATCGCGGACAGACAGGTGCGTACTTGCTGGTGCATGTGTGTATGTGTGTGCGTATGTACGCACTGCCCCCTTGCGGGCGCGCACGCATGCGTCCGTACGGAACTAAATATCGACTTTCGCTGGGCGTCGGTCGGCTTTTATGCTGCATGCTGCACATGTGCGGTATAATGTTTGCTATCTTTGGGCCGCAATCCCCTTATGGTGCCAGTTATGCTTGCATGGTATTTAAATTAGCATTTTAAGCAAACATAAACAGTCAGTGCCAAGAAGAAAAACTGCAACTAATCAGTGTTAGTCGGATGACAAATCCATATTTTAGATCATTAAATATTAGACGAAGTTTCCATCCCTTTGGATCGCCCCGAGTGACATTACCATGTAGCCGCGTAAATAACAATCCACAAATATGATTTCAAAAAAAGCTTTCTTTCAATAAACCTGGATTAAATTGTTTTGACGTCAGATGCGTGGTGCCTATTCACCAGTAGTACAATGACCCAAATTCACATCCTACAACTAGTATAAAACTTTCGAGCATTTTGAATTAAGTGGCAAAATTCAAAGTAAAAATTTTAAAGAGCTTATGCAATCCTTTTCGAAAACGTTTAAAATATATTAGGAATAAGCATAAATGGCAAAATGATGCAGCATAAAACCGAAGTATGGTCTTAATGCACTAAAACATCTAATAATTAATGAAACGATCGACGAACTTTCAAGATATTGCAATTTTGAGGTGAAATAAATGACTTCGGGCATTCAATATTGGTATTCTCAAGCTAACATTCAACATCTTATCAGTGTTTATAAGGTTACTATCGGTGCGCATTTCAAGAGTCAGGTTTGGCTTTGGTTAAACTTATTGCTGTACCTTGCTGGTTTTCTGGTTTTTTGTGTATTATACCAGCTTGAGTTAGTCCTGGTCGATTTAGGGTTAATAGTTCTCATTGGTCCAAATAATCAGATCATGGTTCAAAGCTTTTGTAACGAATCACCAGACCGACAGATTTGTAACCTAATCGGAGTGCACCATATTAGTGTCCGAACAAGTTTCGTAGCTCCGCGAATCTGTTTTGGAGATGGGTTCATCGAAATTATTACAGGCTGGTCGTTCTGTTCAAGGAATTGAAAGGGCTTATAAAACCACAGCTCAAGGTCTGACGAAGCAATTTCTAAGTTCCTTGTTCACTACAGCGTCACATCTGCTTATTTTCACAAATTTCATTTATTGCAGGCTCAAAACTTGCTGGCTTACGAAATTCATCCCGCTCATCTTCTGGTAAGTCATCTTTTCTCAATTTCAATACCTTTTTTCTGAAGGATCTTTTAATTATAGTCTAGCACCTCTGTCTGGAGCTACCAGCACTTGATCAATGAATTATTTGCATTTTGTTGCGTCTAATGAAGGGAATCTTTTGCAGACATGGTCTGATAAGGTTTGTCCCATTCTTACTTGAGTGTTCTGGAGACTGATAGATGGATCACTGAGAATTTCATCCTGCTTGGTTTTTTGTGGTCGGATCTCCCGAGTCGTTTGTTTTTCGTCAATGTCTTTTTTTAGACCTAAGAGAGTACTTGTCAAGATTCACTCAGTTTCTGGTCAATGGTTTGAAATCCATCTCTCCCACTCAAAGTCCTGAAGCCATATTAGAAAACATGGACCAACTGCTTGAAGTTTGACTTCCTACGCACTTTGTGATGCACTGTAGAATTTGGAGATGAAGTCAACTCTTGACCCCAGCATCATTGTGGGATTTTCTGTCGTTAATAACAGTATTTTTTTAAATGGGGATATTGAGTTCCCGGTTCTGCAACTTCTTGCCTCCAAAATATCGGTATGATGGTACACAATTGACATTGATGTTTTAGGCAAGTACTAAGTTTTCTCGACTCCTGGCTCTTCTCTCACCGAAACTGACGGCGTTTACGCTTCAAATGTCTCCCCGTGAATGGTGTACCTGTCTTCGTCTTCCCCAGGTCAAAACTGTATTGCAAAGAAATTTACGGATTTTACAAAACGCCCATCTCCCTGACCGATTCACACGAGCCTTGCTCGTAGAATGGACAAGAATTTCACATTGGTTTGCTGCTACTGGACTAATTGAAAGTACATTTGATAATTTTGCTACAGGGTTTGAGTTTTTGGTGCTAGTTAGTTTTGGCAGTTCCCATTCTACCAATCTAGGCTCTCGTTTCATAGTAAGCATCGTTTTCATCCTCTTCTAATCCGCTCTTTGAGACTTTACCTCTCTACAATGCACTTCGAGTTGCACAGTCAGAACTCCACAATGCTACACATCTACCCATCAGTCAAGTCTACCATGAAAATTTGCAGGAAATATTAGATTTGTCCCAATCAATTGCATCTGCCTTCGGAGAACGGCAGTTAATGTCTGCTATAGTACAATTATCCAATGATTTCCTCCTACATTGTGCCTACTTGACAAATCTGGAGGCCAATCGGTTTGTTGAGCTTCTGCGTTTGCTTTATCCTGTAAGCAATTACATTTTACTAGATTAACTTCAGTAGGTCCATTTTTGTGTCGTAATCCTGCGACGTCACGTACGCAATTTTACAATACACATTTTATCTCTTCCAGATGCAAAGTGAAAACTCGGCAAGGAGTTGGTTGAGGTTTTGGCTTGTTGCTGACATCTCTGGAATACCATTTTCAGATACTACTATGTAATTAGTGGTTTTGTGGTAACGATTTCGGACCTTCTACGCTTCCTGTTATTTTGCGTTCTTCATAATTCGTCCTTATCGATTAGAGGTGATTACGTTCAACTTGCTGTCAAACAGCAATCACAATAGTCTTAAATCCAGACGCTGCGCTGGTATCTGGTAAATCAGCCAGTGTCTTTGGAGTTTTTCGGCATTATTAATTTAGGGACAAAGTTTTAAATAAGCCTCAGAACCATTTTAAGGCTTTGAAGATATATCTGTTACTTGGTGTCAGCAAGCGCTCCTTCGATAAAACCAGATTTAGCGTTATTTCACCACATATGTATACATCGTGCACCTTCTGTAAAGAGCTTAAGTGCATGTATGCACACACTTCCAATTACAGCAGTTATAGCGTGGTCACGTAGGTGCCATATCAACCCCGTAACGTCAATTGGGTGACTCTCTGCTCAATTCTGGCACTGATAGATGAAGTTTCCGGTGCTTCGCCGATTCTACGTTCGGGACTATGGTTTAGACTTCTTCAGCTTCCGTTAAATTGATTGTTTTAGTAAACTATCAATGACGTCGGGACATGACCAATGGGTACTTAACTGTACAGGAACCTACCCAGCTCAGCGACACCACCGAGTGCACATTAAAACGATCCGACTGACTAAAATCCTTCTTCAGTGTCTACACGGCTAGTGCGAGGTTGGATAGCAATTTGGTAGCAGCGCACACGAGGTACTCTGTAGGTCCATACCTCACTGCTGTAGTCCCGACCTAATATGCAAGTCCGTTGGGAGGTGCTAACGCCTCCGAAAGCATATGCCCTCCTACCAGTACACAGGACAAAAAGGACGGAGAAACGAAAATTCACAGAACTTATGTTCCAACATCATAAGACGGTTCTCGAGAAAGGTGGTACTGCATTAAAAACCACAACCGGCAGCTATCAACGATTAAAAATTCAAATGGAGAAAGTTGATCGTAAAATCAGAACTACGGCGGAAGCAAGTGTGTATTTATTAAGGGTCGAAATGGTTAGGAAAGGAAATATTGCGGTCGAAACTAAATTTCTGGAGAGATTACACCAGTGCGATGACATCGCTCCCTTTCGCTAGATTTCGTTTATGATGCCTATTTGGCCTTGCCCTGATTCGCCACACTGCTGATGGCGGCCGCGACTGTAGCATCATCAGCTAAATAGTAGTGCTTAACAGGACGAAGATCCTTATCCAATTCATAAACAAGTGGGATTCCTAAAAGCAAAAGGAGTTAAATGTTTAGATGCCAAGTTCTAAAATGTGCACAATCTACACGCGTCGAAATGCCAAAAAAGCGACTGACACAACCTTTCCATGATTTAAAAACGAAAGTAAAAGAACTAATTTTGTGTATATGTTCAAAAATGGGATAACCTGTTTACCGGTAGGAATATTAAGCTCCACAATGTCCTTATCCGGAATCTTGTCCAGAAACTTTACGATAGCCCGAAGACTATTACCGTGAGCGGTAATCAAAACTCGTTTGCCTTGCTACAAATAAAATGCGCCAAACTAAGCTTGACAGCCTCAAACATGATGTCCGATTGCATCACAGCACATACAAACAGCAAACAAATGAGGATGGACAGTATTTGTTTCCCACCAAACCACTACCACATTTTAGACAAAATAGCGGTAAGAGCGTCGGTTCCGAAAAGCGCACCTTAATGGCGGGAACAACTGCATCAAACCAGAAGGGAAGAGCGCGCTCGACGGTATCTTTTAAGCATTCCGTAACTGGAATACATTCGACGTCAAGTAACTATAAAGACAATAAGATAGCATAAGCCTGAGCAGTCACCCCAGTTTCGACACAAATACGCAACCTCTCACCTTGTACTTTTCCTCTAGACCTGGCCAGCGTTTATCCGACACCTCTAGTGGAGGCGGTGGGATATCATAAGCCCGACGCCAAATCTTAACTTGATCTTCACCGTGCTTTGCAGCTGTTTCAGATTTGTTCAATCCCTGCAGGCCACCATACATTCGCTCATTTAAACGCCACGATCTAGAGGTGTGACACAGGATATCAGTGCCTTAGCATCTGCTGTTTTACTTGCAAAAAACAATCTGAAACACACCCACTGGCCAGAGATGTCCAATATATTTGACAATCAAATACCCAAGGTATGAGAGAAGGCCGCTTAAAAAGCCAACGAATACTAGTGCGGACTACCCTAAGACTCAATTTACACGTATCCGAAAAATTTCGCAAAAAGAGCATCCGAACGAAGGGGAAACAGACAAACTCAGACTAAAAGTATACAAGTGTTGGTCCTGTATAGGCAATCAACTACTATCAGTGACTAAAATTGACAATAAATATGTAAAATCGAAAAAAAGAACTATAAAACACCATTGAAAGCCCTTACTTATGCACAGGAATCCAGTGCAAATCATTCACCTCAAGCACATGATTAAGCGTTTTGATAGCACGCTTCAGAACACTCGTGAAGGCAATATCAAAAGTAAGCCCATTCTCCTTAATCATTTTCCCCGCACATTGAGCCTCTTGTTCGCCTTTGGGAGACAAATCAGCATCGTGCCACCCACAAAATCTGTTCTCCTGATTGTAAACGCTTTCGCCGTGCCTTATAAAGACAACCTTATACACGGAACCCATCGGCACGACACTCAAAAATCGACAATTGCAACGCAATGGCACAAATGACTAATTTAAACAAACATGCATCCAAAAACATGAAGAATCTCTAGCATACTAAAATATTAATGCTGCTAAAAAAAAGTAAAAATTTTAAACATTTTTTAAAACTATCAAAAATACGTAATTTTTTGTGCATAATGGTTTTATGGATGCTTAAACAGTTAAATCATCCAAAATACTAAAAGTGTTTTTTAAAACATTTTTAAGTGTATAGTGATATGTTAATGTGCCTAACCTTTGGGCCATGCCTAGTCTCAGTTGATTTGCCCTTTTTGAAATGCATGCATCCAGCTTTACTTATTGCTTTTTGCTACGATAAAGGAAGTCCCCAGATGGGACGTGGCCTTTGAAATATGCTGGCGCTCTATCCATTCTTTCCACTAGAAAACACATTCTGCTTAGTGAGATGCATTTTCATGGAGGGTACGAAGTCTCTAGACGCAACACCTATATTTATATATAAATGATTTTTTTACATTTTTTAGCTAAAATCTTGCGTCCAAATGAGGTAGTAGAAGGCATAAGTGAGGTTGAATACATGTATTCCGAAAACAATAGGAGGAATTGGGCCTGAGCGTGGCCCGAAGGCCAGCCCACGTGTACAGAGCCCAGACAAGCTCTAAAGTGACCGCCAAACGTCAAATAGTTACATAAACAAAGCATTACACTGCCCCTTTTTTCTTTTGAGCGACGTCCTCGGCGCTTTGGTATACTTTCTGTCCCAGCCATCACAACATATTCGGTGCTACAAGAAAGCATCCACGAGCGAGGAACCGTACCTGATCTTCTCTGCAGCTTCAACTGGGTCTGGAGTTTCGTACGGTCTGACAACCAGATTCGGGGACCCCTGCATCTGTCGACCATCAATCGCTTCCAGAAATACATGGTGGAACTCTGGTCTACAACAGATATGTTACAGGGATAAGGGGACGGGCCAATGTCCCGTATGCGAAGAGATCCGTTGTGTCATTTCCGACACCTAAACACGGGTTCTGTATGGAAAATTTCCACACAAAACTTTTCCAGCTTGTCTGTGGAACACGAGAATAAGTTGAAACCAAATGCAGACGTCAGTCTCAACCCTTTCGTTGTGAAAGGTCCAGGGGTCCTCCGTCTTCAAGGTAGATGCGCCCCCTTCAATTCGTGTCCCGTTTTCGCCTGTATCTTTATCTACTACACTTGGAGAGATAGAGTCAGACTTCCTTCTACGCATGTATAGCTCATGATTGCCAGAATGCGCTTCTTAA